GCAAATAATCCTGTTTTCTCAATCCAATGAAAAATGCAGGTGAACAAAACATAGTCCCACCTACTTCTACATGCACTGAAAAAATGATCTGCAAAACCCAATCCAAGCACATCTTTTAGGCAGAACCTCTGTCTCATTTTAAACATCCCAAGCAACCTCAAATCCTAAACCACTACAGTGTTTAATTGCTCCTCTTTGCTCCTTACTATTTCAAAGTACAACATATCTAACTTCATCTCCCAGGCACTGGATCTCTCCGTGGTGTCTAGAAGCTATCATATATTTTCCTTATGTGTACGTCAGATATATACAGGCATCACTTCACCTTTCAATCTCCCCTCTTACAAACTGAAAAATGCTGTACGCCACACACTATGAAGCTTATTTTCCAAACCTTGGGTCATTTTTGTTGCCGTGATCAGAGCTCTAACTAGTAATTCACCTCCTTCCTGATGTGTGAACAGCAAACTAGACAGACTCAGAATTCCAGTGATCTTACTAATGCTGTGTACTTTCCTATTTCTATGCGATATTTATACTGCTATTGAGCCAAAGATCACATTTCAGTCACAGCATTACAATGAAAACTCCTGTCGATAAGATTTTCCACACAAATTCTTAAATCTTTTTTTTTTTTTCTCCAAATTACCAGTTTAAAAACTGTCTCCTATCCTGCTGGTGAAACTGCTCTCCTGGTTCCTCTGTATCTGGCTGTAAGAAAATGCATTCGGCTGGATGGTAATCATTTAAAAGAGTGATTTAGAGCATAGTGTACTAGTAACCTGTATCTCCCCACACAAACACACACACACACACACAAAAACCTGCATATAATTCATTGTAAACAATGAGATATCATCACAAAAACTGCGAATATGATGATAGTAAACAGCATTAGACCAAAATCCAGTCCCTGGAGGACCCCACAAGAAACAGCTGCACTCACAGAGAAGAAAGACACGCCTAAGCTCCTCTCTAAACTAAGAAAGATTTATGAAGCAACTTTGCCAATGTTTGTGGTATTTATTCCACAGCGACTCCATGGCACAATTGTTTTAAACTCACAGCTCACTGCAGAGTTAACAGATATATCAGAGACACAATATAGGGTGAGTCTACCACAACAGAACAGTTGATGAATAGCTTAGGAATTTGGAAGATGTGGTTTTTTACAATACAAAACTCTGGGAAGCAATTTGCTCTAGTTCTACTGTAAATTGGTCTTTAACAATTGTTAACTCATTCTGAAAGTTTCAGAACAAGTAAACCACAGCTTGTTATTTATTTCAGAGGCTCCATTTTAAAGTCTTCATTTTCTCAGCCAGGAAAACAACAATGAGTAATGTGAGTAAGTAAAAGCTTTCATATAGTCACCTGAAAAGTTTTAGGTTCACTTTTCTATTGTCAATTTTCAGAATTAAATGGGTACTAATTAGTTGACTGGGTAACCGATCACTTAATATTATAAACTAACAGTGTGTTTGAATGTACGTAAACATATACATATGTTTGATGAAGCTTGTAGCACTGCCGATTAGGCAGTCACTAAACACTTCCAATGCAAAATGCTGTTTCCAGCTGCTTGTAACTTGGCCAGACTTTTGACTATTTGGGCTGAAATTTTCCAAGTTGAATGTCTGCCTCAGGCAATATTTTGTTCCATGTGTTGTGGAGGGTTCTTCTGAGGGAGGAGCGCAGAAAGAGGTAGACTGAGAAAAGCAAATTTCAGCCAAAACACTTCAGCTGTTTTCAGAACAGGAAAAGGGAAAATATAATCTTTCAAAATTAATAAAAATCTAAAGCAAACTTCTTCCTAGAAGAAGGTTACAGTGCCCTTTCTGCTTTGTGCCACAGATTTGAAACGTGACATGACGGCTGGAGCCACTCTATTGAAGATGTACCTTTTGCTGCCTCCATAAAAAGTCTGCCCACACGTGGTCAAACTTCCAAAGACAAACAGACTTTGTGCATCTTCAGTAGATATTCGCTAAGTCAGATTCATATCATTTACAACTCCTCATGCCAATCAGACTACATAGGCTGTCCCCACAGAAACGAAGGGACTGCCATCCTCTCTCCAGCAGGCAGGACTGCAGCTAAAATAATCACGCTCCAAGGCAGGGAATCGGACAGACTCCTGAGTTTGCCTTTAGGGGCTGGTTGAGGCCGCCATGGTACCAGGTACTTGAAACAAGAGCAAAAATCCTTCTTTTCCTGCACTTTCATTGCCCCTTCCTACGGGTCTTCAGAGCAACATGGGAATGTGGAGAACCACAAGGAAGGACTGGAGAAGACGCTTCATACAAACAGGGCAGAGGGCAAAGTCTGGGATAAGGGGACAGCAGAAGAGCTGAGGAGAATGACTTGGTCCATGTGCGCTAGGTGAGCTGACAAAGGAAGCAGGACTGCGGGAAGATCAGCAAGAAGGGACAGGGGATACAAACGGGCACGGAGTGACTTGAGAACGGGGAGAGAAAAACAAGGGGCTGAAGAAAGGGAGGCAACTCACTGAGCTAGGAGCCTGGGAGCAGGGAGACGGGAAGGGAAGTATAAAAGCAGAGCAGGAGGAGGAAAGGGGCAGAGTCTGACGAGGTGAGAAGAGCAGAACAGATGTAACAAGACAGCGTGAGAACGAGTCAGCACAGAGAAAGGGAACAGCGCAGGAGGGGTGCAGACCGAGCGGGAAAGTCCAGAATCCGAACAGCACGCTCTCCTCCAGAGCCTGGGACGCAGCCCAGCCTTTCTGAGTCCGGCCATTCCCTCCCTGTCAGCAAACAGCTGGGAAACAAACTGGCAGAGCATAATAGATCCTCTCCTGCTGGCCTACAGACAAGAACGACCTACCGCTATCAGTTATTCTCAACAAAGAACTCAAATAGCTGAATCCCATGTGTCACATGAGTAATCCAGCTGATGAAGGATGGCAATTTGAGTATGCTACCCTAGGCTATGTATCTGCTTTTCTTCTCTTTTCTTAAGGAAAAGACACCCTAGGAAATAACACCAAAAGACAGTATTAAAAATGTGATCAATAATGCAGAATTTTAGAATTGCTAGGATTAAGTGGCATACGGTAATTAAAACTCCCTCTTAGTGCTTATATGCATGGAGGTCAATCTCTAATTGAGACTGACCTGGTCACACTTTTTCCCCGTGGAAGCTTTGCCACAATCAACACAAAAATCCCTCACTTTCCCCTTGTTCTTCAGAGCATTACTACACATTATCAAATCGGAGAGGGAATTATTTCTTTCCTCCAAGGTTCTTTTGATTCTGCTCACCGCACAGCAATTCATGATATAAGGGATACATACTGTTATCTACATTCTTTAAGAACAGGAAACCGTGATATGAAAAGATTGAAGTAAAAAGCTAAAGACACTGAGCAAGCAAACGGAATCTCAATGGGAAAGGCAGGGGCAGCAGAATCCACTTCTCCAAGGCAGCATCCAACTATTTTATGCATGAAACTCCCTCTCTCTTTGTATACTTATCTGCCTTGTTCACGTCACGTTTTCTAACTTCTGCCCAACTGGAGAGTTCTTGTAAGCAGCCTCCATTAACAGATAAACCTCTGATTCATTGGGTGGGGAAAACAGTAACTGTGGATAGCTTCATAATGCATAGGTATAGTATATCCAGATTAAATTTACACAAGCAACTTAAAGTCTGAGCACTCCACTTTGCAAGCTTATTGATGGAGTTGGGTTAGGTTTGGCCAGCTTAGGCAGAGGAGAGGTAGTAAATGTATAGAATATAGAAAGTACAGAATATAGCATATTGTATACAGTTCAACTGTGTCCACTGGGTGGCAGGCACGTTTCACTGGAACAAGATACATATGTATAAAGGTATACAAATGAAACCCCTCAAAAACTATGCTTGTTCCATATCTCAGAAGCAGCAGTTGAACAGACATTCAAAGGTCTCACAGAGCTTTGGTAGCAAAGTTACAAATTCTGCTCTCATTTTAACATTAGCTCCTTGTTTGTAATGCTAAGGCTTTCAAGTTGTTCCTGCACTCAATGCTCTGTTTGAGCGTTACAGACACGTAGTGCCCCATGTCACTTCTGCAGGCTGGTGCCGTAACGCGAGGTTGCTGTGACATTGTAGGAGTCTTCAGAACGGTCTGAAGAGCAATTCCAATGCCTGCACAGGCCGAGCCTTTAAACTCTTCCCTCACTTAATGAATACAGTGAAAAATGTTTGGACAAATAGCTAGAAATACATCTATGTGCATGAGCAGCATACGTTTTAAACTTTAGAGGACCATAAAAAGACAGCATTGTCCATGGATTTTCACTTAGCATCTAAGCGGAATCATTTCAAAATGTGCTTCAAAAATGCTTCTAGAGAGGAAGACGTTGACCAAGTTTCAACCCAGTGCATATTTTTATAACCAAGTTGTAAACTACATAAAAACTACACTTATAATGGAAATGCTGACAAATGCATAACTGCTGCAGTTAGCTATGACAGTCTGACCACAAGTCCTCCTTCAGGAAAAAGCAAAATTACTTTTCCCCCTGCTCCTTTCTAAGACTGTTCTGTAACAAGCTTGGGGGAGGGGGAAATCTGTATTTTATCCTTTTATTATGACTTTAAGTCTTTTATTCCATTTACCATCCACACGTTGAACTAGCCACCCCCCCTGTTTTTGCAACAAACAATCAGAGGGCCTCTTAAACTCATGACTCACTTCACATACTTTTCCTCCACCCTCGGTGTGATTATAGCAAAAAAAAAAAAAAAAAAAAAGGTTGCCAGCTGATTAATTAAGATTTTTTTTTTTGTGCCGGTAGTGTTGGGAAATAAGTCACATAATCTCGAGGAGGGGGGGACATGAAAAAAAGTCAGTATGACTTTTATTCAAAGTAAATAAATAAATAAATAAAAACGCTGAGGAGGGATTTCTCCACCAAACAAGTAAACAGGGAGATTGGTCTGTCTCCGGCCAACCCCAACCACCTGGAGTCATGGGAGCTGAGGGGGGGGGCGGGATGGGGGACATCTCCGGCGGCCCCGAGGCCAATCTGGGGCTGACGGGTGCGTGTATTGTGTGTGTGGTGGGG